CTGATTGGCCAATCCAGGACGTAGACGCTCGGGGAGTAGTCAAAATTTGGGGAGCCCAAATATATGTTTTCAGAAGTTTGAATGTTTCTCTTACAATCTGAGTGTGTAATTGCACAGTCGCTATGTTGGGTAAGGTCAATCACTAGGATTTAGTGTCCTATCACAACAAAGTTGCAAACTGCTCAAACATGCAGCAGAAAAGGTAAGTCTTCACAACTCCGGGTTCAGCAGTCATGGACTTCTATGGCGAGACTGAGAGCTTATATACTCGGCCACCGGAAGTACTGTAAGGCCGGATGTAAGCGTCGCAGGTGGCGACCCCAGAAACTCGCCGGTTTGCTGAATCCAACAGCATTGGAATGTGGCTAGGCTTGTCAGATGTCGGGGAGAATATCTCAGGTGGCGACCCCACCCCCCCCTCCCGTGATAACCTCGCCGGTTGGCTGAACTCCGTCGCTATGGAATGCGGCTAGGCTTGTCAGTTGTAGGGGAGAGTATCCACTACAATACACCCTTGCGCTAAACGCCATAACCATACCTAATGTAGGTTAGGTTAGATAGATTAGGTTAAATAAGGTAGGTTAGAATGGGTTAGAATATGTTAACTAGAGTGGGTTAGGTTAAATTAGATATATTAGGTTAAGTTGGGTAGGTTACGTTTGTTCATTTTATGTCTGTTAAATCATAAACAGTTTACCAGTATATAATGTAGCTGGTAAACCATTCCTCTGTTCTAACATTTCTGTGGTTGTAATTAAATGGTGCCGTCGTACTTAATTAAAAGGAAATATATATCCAAAGATGAAAACTCATGTCTTACCTTGAGAATGAAGCAAATCTAGGTAATACTTTAGACTTCAGATTCATGGGAAGGAACCAGTACAGGTATATGGATTTTTTTTTATAGAAAAAAACTGATTTCTTACTTAATGAATAGAACGAAATGGTTGGAGGAATTAAAAATTTCTGACTTATGGTTTCCTGATGTTTTCATCAACACACTTCTCTGCGATGTGGGGAGCTATCAGGGAAGCTGCCATTACTTGTTTATGCGTATGCCAAGACCAAGTTGTGTTGTTTAGTGTGGGTATCGCTTTCTGGTGATGAATTGGGTGCATGTCTATATTTTGACTTGTTATATCATGTTAAGGCATATCATGATCGACTAATTTGCATACGTTTTTTAAAACATCTTGTATTTGCATGAATTTGATAGACAATTTTGTGCGTATACACCCGTACCGTATGTTGTAATATGTTATATCTCTTTGATTGTAAGTTTTCATATTGGTAGTGCCTGGTGGTTAACACTTATAAAAGATACGTTTTGGAGCCTGCACCAGGTATATGTTTTAGCTATAGTAAGATATCAAGAAAATCATCACGCATTTTTAATTTTCACAGATCATCTTGTATAGTGGCGACAAGCTAGTAAACAGTACCCTCATTCACTACAGTTCACAGACAGATGTTCGTTTAGTAAAAAAGGATATTATAAGTTCACCTTTGACTCATTAGGGTGTTTAATCATCAGGTGAAATAAGCGGGGGCGGCAAATCATCAGGTGAAATAAGGTAGGGTGCCTAATCATCAGGGGATCCATGTGTTCTTTTATGGTGTTCCTCTTTTACATCAAGGACCAAGTTATCTACTATAGCTACCTGGCTTACTCCTCTTTTGTCTTCGTGTTGAAAAGTGAGATGATTAACGCGTGTATTTTTATATTAACTCCTAAACAAACTTTTTTTTCAGAACTGACAGAGACGCCCTGTGGCTATTTTGCTTTCTGAAGGGCGGTGGTCAGCATGGACGAGAGAAAGAGCGTACTAAGGAGGAATTCAAAAGGAGAAAGTTGCTTCAGCAGTTGGAAAAATAGGTAAAAAAGGACCTCAATAGGAAACAGGAAGAGTTGGTGACAACCATTAAGAACGCATTGAAAGAAAAAGCCACAAAATGTCTCAAAGTAGAGAAATCACCCAAGTTAAGGAAAAATACACGAGTGAAAGATCCCCTAAATTCTAAGAAAATGCAAGATGGGGTAGAAGTCCCTCGCAGAAAATATGTACGCAAAAACACAGAGAAAGTACCCCCAGAATGTGGTGAAACGCGTGAGCATGTGCAGAAAGACCCCAAAATTTGAAGAAAGATTCGCAGAAATATGGAAAAAAGTTAAAAAATTTAAAAAAGAAAGAGAACAAGTGAATTCAGACCCTAAATTAAGATAATAATAACACAAGGAAAAGAAAAGAAATACTGGCCACCGTTTTTTACGTGAATTATTGATTACCTAACGTTTCCTCTTCAGAGTAAAGAAGAAATTAAAATATCTTAGATACTGTTACGACCCTTGGGCCTCTTAAGGGTGTAATAATATCACAAATTCACAAATTACACTTTGTACTATAGGTCCAGGAATAGATCCCACCAAATTATCACCTCATTACTATGGGGTATATTGAAATACATGCAGTAGTTTTAATAACAGAATATATTAACAAATAATCAATAAAATAAATATATCAGTATGTACAAAAATAAACAAATACCAGTTAAATCTGATCAAATAAATGACTCAACCGAGTGACAAAATAATGAACACAAAAGTATTTAGTCTAGAAACTACGATGAACAACGTGGTCTATCCACCACACGAAACCTCATAAATAAGTAAGTTATTTTCCGTGGAACTCCAAAATATGATTAACAATAATCTTTCACAAATAATACTTCACTTGGTGTTATAAAAGTCGAGCAAGGTTTACACGTTATACCACTAGAAACATACTGTACAAGATAAGCTAATCCTAAGCTAATGGGTTCATACCCCGTTTATGAGAGCATAAACCTCTCCCTTTTTAATGCTAATTTCTCCCTCTCAATTAATATTTATTTTGACCCTAATTTCAGGAACAATCTTATCTGTTTCTTCCACTTCATGATTTGGGGCCTGAGCAGGCTTAGAATTAAACCTTTTATCTTTTATTCCTTTAATTATTACAAAAAATAATCAGTATTCCTCTGAATCAGCACTTAAATACTTTCTTATCCAAGCTCTAGGGTCTGCTATTATTATTTTTTCGGCTTCAATTATATTGGTTTCCCCCAGCTTCGCGCCACTTTGTTTGGCGCTTGCTCTTCTTAAACTAGGAGCCGCTCCATTTCATTTTTTATTTCCCCAAGTTATAGAAGGAATAAATTGAATCCAATCTATTGTGCTCATAACTGTTCAAAAAATTGCTCCTATACTTTTACTTTCGTATCTTACTTTTGATTACTTAGTAACAACTCTTTTGTTTTATGCAATTATTGTATCAGCAATTATTGGAGCAGTTGGTGGTATTAACCAGACAATACTTCGAAAAATTATGGCTTTTTCTTCTATTAATCACATAGCATGGATACTTTCTGCTATTTTGATTAGTGAAAATATATGAACAATATATTTTACTTTTTACTCTTTGATATCTTCTTCAGTGGCATTAATCTTTCACTTCCAACAGATTTTCCATTTTTCTCAAATTACTTCTAATAATGCTTCCCCCCTGCCTAATAAAATTCTTATAATTTTATCTTTGCTTTCTCTAGGTGGGCTGCCTCCTTTTACTGGCTTTTTCCCTAAATGAATTTTAATTCAAGAAATAACCTCTAGTTATTTTTTTGTCCCCTTATTAGTTCTACTGGCATCTACTTTGATTTCCCTATATTACTATTTACGAATCTCGATTTCGGCATTAGTTCTTTTTTCACCAAAATTTAAATGATCGTCTCCACACCGAAGACAAAGATTCTTTACCCCTTTAATGGCATTTGTCAATCTTTTTGGACTCTTTGTCCCATCAGTTTTTATTATATTCTAAGATTTTAAGTTATTTAAACTAACATCCTTCAAAGTTGTCAAAAAGAGAAAATCTTTTAAATCTTAAAATACTTTCATTTTAATATTTTTTAAGCC